CGAACACCCGTCTAAAGAGGAGCAGTAATCGTCCAATTCGCCATCAGATTCTTCATTTTCCTCATCAGACACCACATAATCCTCATCTGAATCATCGGAAACTTTATCAGCCGATCTACCTCTATTTTTGAAATTGCTTTTGCAACTAACCTTCCCTCTCCTCCCCATCTGTCTTGCACCCAGACACAAGGCCAAAACACCAAATATCAACCCAAATTCAGACCCAATAAATATCAAATATTCGTTGAACTCAGGAATCAATACCAAATCAAATCTGCATCAATAAAAATAAATTCCAGGATTGCTCAATCCCCCTCTTCCCCTCTTATTTCTTGCTTAGGCTCTACTCAAATCAAATCGGGTATTCACATTAATAGAAACCTTGCATGGCAAAACAATAAAAACCTCTTTATACCCAATATTCCTCGCCACCCGATCTGTATTAACAAGGCAAACCACAATCTAAAAAAACCAAACCAGAACATAAACAAAATATTACCCAAAGCCCCTTTCCCATTCCAAATTCGTTTTGCCTCTGATTTAAAGAACATTAAAATATACCATTTCCGCACCCATTCCCCCAGCTAAATTCACCAACAGACACACAGAAATCATCACCGAATTTCCAAATTTATAAACAAATTAATTATTAAAAAAATTTCTACCCACCGCTCGTTAATTATTAAAAAAATTAAAAAAAAAATCTAGCACAAACAACACATACATCTATCACAAACAACACATACATATATTTTAAAAATAAAAAACACCGGAGAGAGAAAGTTGGTACCTGAGAGGAGGAGGAGCAGGAGGAGGAAGAAGAAGAAGAAGAATAAAGCAGCGAAAATAATTTTGGTTTTCGTGACATTTTCTTTATTTCCCCCCCCCCCCCTGATATAAACGTTTTCTCGTTTCGGCTGTTCGCGTTATTTATTTATTTTATTTATTTATTTATTTATTTTTTGCGCATCGACACATACGCAACTGGATGACATCGTTCCCAGTGAAATGACGCAAATACCCTCCTTCGGATTTTTAAAAAGCGCAGAGCAGTTTAACTGTTATTTTGACTTCATACCCCTCCCAAAAAATGGTACTTTATAAAACGGTTATTCTTTTATATATATATATATATATATATATATTTTTTTTAATTTTATCAGTTTTAAAATAATTGGACTAATAAAATCTTGCTTTTAGAACTAATGATTTTTTTAAAAAAAAGTAATAATGATTTAATTATTTTTATTTTATTTTTAATCAATCAATATTGAATTATGAAACCTAATTTCATAAAATATATTTATTATCCACTAAATTATTATAACAATTATTGAGCGTATTTTATAAATATAATTAAACTAAAATCTAACCGCACGTATTGTGTTTCTAAAGGTGTGCGCGAAAAGCGACAGTACGCGTGTACGGCTACGATTGCGGAAGTA